GGGCCTGCGCCTGGGTCGGGGCAATCCCAGCACAGGGACAGGCTGGGGGGAGAAGGGATGGAGAGCAGATCCCTGAGGAGAAGGACTTGGGGTACGGGGGGGGGAGAAGCTGAACATGAGCCGGCCGTGTGCGCTGGCAGCCCAGAAAGCCAACCGTATCCTGGGCTGGATCCAGAGCAGCGTGGGCAGCAGGGTGAGGGAGGGGATTGTCCCACTCTGCTACACTCTCATGAGACCCCCCTGCAGTGCTGTGTCAAGGCGAGAGCAGCCCCAAAAGCAGGAAACTCCTGCCGAAGGTCTGAGCGTGTCAGGGCCTTCTGCACAAATCTGTCCTGTGGCTGAGCTTGCTTTAAGGGGAAAACCCCTCACCCCGTTCCTGCTTCTGCTGCAATAAAACCTGAAAACCCTCAAACCCTCTGCCAGGACACCCACCCAGGGAGAACAACTGCAGGACTGCAGGCAGTGGGAGTACCAAGGGATGGAACCCAGGCTCCAGGGTAGAGCATTCCCACAGGACCCCCAGACCATTCCCACAGGACCCCCGGTTCACTGTCTGACCCCTGCCTTCTCCCCAGTAAAAGCTGCCATGGGGGGGAAGTATTTCAGCAGGGGAAATAGGAAGCGGTGTCTGGGTGGCGATAGCAGCTCCGAGGAGCTCTGTGACCTCCAGTGAGCTTCCTGGGCAGATTCTGCTGATACACAGAGGGAACGCGGCAGCCGCAACTGCCTGGAGGGTTTTAAGGGAAGAGGCTTAGATAAGAGGAGTTCCCCAGGCTGCAGGAGGGCTTTCCCTTGTACAGGAGCCATTTGGTCTATGCCCGTAACCAAGATCTGGCCAAGATCTGCACTCCCAGGCTGCAGGAGGGCTTTCCCTTGCACAGGAGCCATTTGGTCTATGCCCATATCCAAGATCTGGCCAAGATCTGCGGGACCGCTACAGCATCTCCACACCAGCAGGAAAAGGCTCACCACATGCAAGGGTTGGGACCTTCCTGCAGATGACAAACGGCCAGCCTTCTTCGGAGGCAGCTTCGGAGGCAGTCTCCCACAGCCCAGGCCTGGGCAAACTCCGGTGCTGGCGCCAGGAGCAAGCACAGCCACTGTTCTGCCCCAGCCCTGTTCCCTCACGGGTCCTTTGATACATGAGGCTCGAACCCGAAAACCCATGGCTTGTCAATAAAAAGAGCAAAAAAACTCATTTTCCCTCTTCTGCTGGAAGAAGTTTGTTCTTCCCTGTGTTATTCCCTGTTCAAGCTCACTGCCTTTCAAGGCAGGTGAGACAAATCACAGTTTAAGAGTGTTTAGAGGCTGTTGATGGGAAACAAATCAAAGTCACTCCCACAGCCTGTTGCTTTGCAGCTTGCCAGGTAGCAAGAGCAGTTTGGGAAACAGTTGTACAACTCCAGGGGTGCAAGTGCTGTGCTCCCCCTCCACCTTTTTAGCCAGGGTACCTGCCCCAGCGCATGTCTCTGGAGAAGCAGGGAGCCTCAAGCACATGGGCTTTCTGATGGAGAGGAGGGAATAGCTCCTCGGAAAGGTGGGGATGCTCCCCAAATCCTGCACTCCTCCCCAGACAGGCAGGAGCAGAAAGCTGCGTGCACCCCTAGTTCATGGTGGAGGGGGTAAAGCGTGTGACCCCAGCCAGCAGGCCCCAGATAATTCCCCTCCCTCCCATGAGACCTGCCACTTGTAACACCCACAAGATCATGACCAAAACCACTTATCGCAGGAGTTACTTAAACTCAGCTATCACACTGCTTCCTTAAAAAACAAACCCAGGCAGCAACAACCTCACCCCAGCCCCAGCACAGGATCTTCTACCTGCACAGGAGTTTTTTCACCCCTGACTTCAACCAGCCCAGAGCCAAACAAGGCCCAAAGAGCAGAGTAAAAGGCACCCACCTCTGAGGCGTCTACCCCCAAGGCCTCCCCCTGCCCCAGAGATTTGTAACCCTGCACCTCTGCCTCACTTGCTCTCCTGCTGCTGGGAGGGGGGCATAAAACCAGGTCTGGCAGCAGCACTGCATCTCACTGGATCTTCTTCCTGAGAGCCCTGTGCTGGCTGCCTCCATGGTCTCCCCTTCCTTAAAAATCTTGCTGTATCAGGAGCAGAAGAAAAAGCTCCACCTCTGCTTGGCTCATCCTATCTGCTCATCTCTCCTTACATGCTAATTGGGGGCTGGAGGCTACAGGAATTCATTAATGAGCCAGGCAGGGGAGCTCTCCTGAATGAGTTACAGGGGGTTCAGCACATGAAATATAGGTGCGATGGAGGGAAGATGGAGAAGGGAGCAAGGCTATGTGGGACAAGGAGCATCCCTGCCTGACTGCGTCCAGCTCCCTCACCCGTGAAGTTCACTGCTGGGTGCACACAACAGCACTGGAAACTGAGCCTGGCTCTGACAATGGATTTCCAAAATACTCCCACATCAATCCCCCTCCTGCTGCCCCTCCTCCCTCAGGCTCTGCCTTGAAGGTCCTCAAAATAAGCAGCCCGGGGCCAGGATCTGCCTGGAGGAGGTGGTGGGGAAGCAGCTCTTGGTGCTTCCCGAAAAATCACCTTTCAGGAAGGGACGAGGTACAGGAAAGCTCATGCACCAGGACAGGACATCTCCGCTTTCACCTGATGCCTGTAGCCAGAGCTTGGAAATCAGGATTTTGGAGCAGAGCTGGTTGCACAGTGTCAATCAGTACCCCTGCCCCTGGAAGCAGCCTGGCTCCGCAGAGTTACAGGACCTCAACTCCCGTGGCAAGGGAAAACTCGCCTCTCCAGGCAAAACCACTTGCGTGGGACCGTGTCTGTGGAAGAACTCAGGTTTTCTGCTCCCAGATCTGTTTCCATTGGGACTCAGCCCTTCCAACGCCAAAAACGTGGAGGTTTCACCTGCCAGGCATTATTTGTCTTCCAGGCAGCTGCCCTAAAATGCCACTAACGCTGGAGAAAAGGCAAATTCCTTACGCTCTTAAAATTCCCCGTGAAAACCTGGAAGTCTTCAGCTGTTAAAACTCTGGTGCTCAAAATGGCTCTTGCAGAAGGTGCTGCCACACACCCCACCTTGGCACACCTCGAGGGCTCCACACCACCACCCCCCCGGCACCCCCTCACCTCACAGCCGGCAGCTATTTCTGCCTTAGTGCTGTGGCGAGGGCTTTAACTTAAGGAAGTAATTTAGTTCTTTTTTTAAAGCATGAAAACTACCTCCAGATATGGCACAATGGGATCCAGTTACCTTAAAAATTTCCAACTGATTCCCCTTCAGAGAGGAGTGTTATTATCTCCAGTAATAAATGTGGGAGCAGGAGGAGCACTGTGCGATTTTCTTTTTTTCCCCGTTCCACATGAAATCTGTGGCAGAAGAAGTTTGGCTGCGTGGGAGCGGAGGGGTTTGCTTTCCCTTTTTCCCCAGCAATGGCTGGAATCTGCCTGGATGCTCGTTTTCATTAAAAATTGCAGCAATGCTTGTCTGTACCATCACTGTTTGCTCCTCATTTGCTCCCTCCTCTGGAGCCTATCCCCATGCCGGCTGAGAAGGAGGGATCCCACCTCCTGAGAAAACAAAGGAGGAATTTTGCTTATATAGGAATATAACCTTTTATAGGAATAACCACAACTGTCGTACCACATTTACTTCAGCGCTCTTTGGTTTTGACTGAGCAGGGATGCTCCACATGGCTTCTTGAATAAAATAATTACAAAAATACTGAAACAAAGCTTTGCAGAAGTGAACAAAGTTAACGAATTCTCTCCACATGAACCCCTGAAACGCACTCGGCTCAGCTTCACAAAGAGGTGCCCACCCCCCCAAGCCTGGTTTTTGGAGGAGTGGGTTGTCCTGATGGATGAACTGCCTGGTGCTGGGCAGGAGCAGAGCCAACGTGCACGGAGGAGGGCAAGAGCCTGCCCGAAGCATGGCCCCGTGGGACGTCCCATGGGGAGCGGTGCCACAGCAGCGGGCGATGGAGATGGGGAAGAGGAAGTGAGATACGTGGGTTTGTGCTGGAGCCACAAAGTCCTTGCCTCCAAAGATCGGGGTTCCCACGCTGCTGGAGCCCGCCTGGGCAGCAGCGAAGGGCCGAACCCGCTTTTGGGGTGATACTCTGCAATAAGCCCTTTGGTGAGGTGGAAAATGGCTATAAAAATACAGCCAAATACGGCGCTAGATCCTACCAGATTCTTGGTTGCTGTCACTGGTAAAGGAGCGTACTCTACACAGAAGAACTCAGCAAAGCAGAGAAGAACAGTCACGGTTACAGCACGTCTGCTCCCAGCTGGGGGGTTCTTGGGGGAGGGTGGGGGCAAGGGAGCAGGAGCAAACCTCCCTGGGTCTGTAGAACCAGGGATTTTGGGGGACCCACTTTCCAGCAGTCATGCAGGAGGGATGGGAGCACCTTTACCATCTCCTTTGCACCAAGACCCTAATACAGTCCCCTCAAGGTCCCCCCCCAGTATTTGCATATAGCAAATGCATTTGCATATAACATTTCTCGCTGTCCCACTTCGCTGGGGCTGCCAGCTCTGCCTGGCTTCGTCATGAAAAAAAAGCCAGTCTGAGGTGACCAGCAGGTTTGGGGTCTTCAGCCTGCCTGAATAATGCAGCCAAAAGGGGCAAGCGGGGTGGGTGCTGGGTGCACAGAGCCAAACAGCCCACCTGCAGTCCCCAGTCCACCCTCACCTCCTGCTACCGGGCTCTTCCACACTCTGCCTGGCCAGTCTCTGGCCTGGGTTACCCCAATCCAAGGGGTATTTTTTTATTCCCAGCACTGCTGTACGGGTGAGGTCTTCAAACACAGAGGGATGATTTCATCCTCGTCCTGCTCTGTGCCTCCTGCCCAACCTCACCCTATTTGAGGTTGCTCCAAGGAAATGTCCGAGCCTATGAGAGCAGCAGCTCTGCGGTCAAGCTAGCTCCCGCCTGAGCAGAAAACCAGCCCGTTGCCTTCTGTGCATGTCCTGCTGGCACTGTCAGCAGCAGGAGCTGCCCGTGAGGCTGGCTGCCGGCTCACACCCTCTGCCCTGCATTGTAGGGCTCTTCTCTGGGCCCTGGGGCTGACGACACATTGACATAGATCTCCTGCTGCTCTGGCAGGGAATTCTGCATGCTGGCATACGTAGCCTCTTCTTCCTCTTCCAAATGCTGGGAAAGAAAGGGGATAAACAAAAAACATCCTTTGCGGGGTTGCGCCAGGGCAACCTCTCTGGGCTGCTGTAAGCACCCAGGAGCAGCCATGGGAACCAAAGAGGGCACCCATACTATCCAGGGACATGTGCACGCCAGCTTGGCATGTCCCTTTGTAGCCCCCTCCCTCCCCATCCAACCCATCCCAGCTTTCCACCCACCGCCTTGAGCTCAGCACTGCTTTGCATTCTCCTACCTTATCACTCTGCTTGACCTCCATGTACTCGGTCGTGGTGTTTGCCAAGCAGCGGAAAGCCTCAGCATTGCTGTACAGCTGGTTCTCAGCTGTGCCCACGCTGTGGTGAATGTCTGCGTAGTTCAAGCTATCCGCTTGCTGACACATGAAGGGGATAGATAAGCTTTTAACCTACCACTGCTCCCCTGCCCGCAGCTTGCAGGGGTGAGAACACGTCCCGTCCTGCTGCCGTTCCTGATGAAAGCTGGGACGGCTCCTGGAGCAAGGGCTGGCTCAATATTCCCCAGGGCAAATCTGGTTAGTGACACCGGCCCCTCCTCAAAAGCTGGCTGGAAACATTAGAAAATACTTCCCAAGCAGTGACCAAAGAGCTGCCCTTCAGCCTCCTCAGTAGTGCTTTGCTGCAGGTTCTCAAGGCTGTTTCACCCAGAGAAGCAGCTCCCATGCTTGGAGGGGCTTGGGGAGAAACCTCTCAGCTCTATCCTAAATTCCCTTCCCAGGAATACTCTGCAAAAATAGTTGCACAAAATCCCTGGTTGGGTCTTTTCTGTTGGTGAACGGAGCCCAAGGCATCCCTCCCGGCCTAAAGGGCTGTGAACCTGGCTGAAAGCAAATGGCTCTGGCAGCTCGTTTGCCAGGCTCAAGGTGTTACATTTACCCTTCCCAGACAAGCTTGGAGCTCATCCCAACACCCCGTGCGATTTGCCTTACTGTATGCAACCTGCTGCGAGTCCCATCCATCTCTATGTCGGCTCTGGAGAGGGCTGGATGAAGCACGGTTGTGGTGAGACATGCGTGAAACCAGAAGAAAAGAAATGTGGTTAAAACTGTGCTGCTGCTGGGAAACTCGCTGTAAAGCAGGAAGGAAACCTGTTGCCCCATCAGCCATCTAAACTAGAGCAGTTCTTCAAATAAAACCAGACCCCACGCACCAGCTGGTGACTTCCCCTCCAGTCCCTCCCCGTCCTTCACACTGGCCTTAAGATTTGCATCAAGCCTGGTGCAAGCCTGGGCTACGCAACTGAGCACGTCTGGAGAAGCGGACAGTGCCCAGAGGAACTCACGTGGGTGCTGTGCTGGGCAGCACCCATCCCAAGAGCTGACATTCCCTGATCCTGTGGAAATTGGACCTGTGGGACAGTCCCATCACTCCCTCGGTGGAGGTCTCAGTGATGGACCGAGGAATTGGATGGATCAGGGTGGGAATGGGGGACAATAAGGAAATATAAAGGAAAAAAAACCCAAATACAGCAGAAGAGAGGCTTTGGTGTGGAAACAGCATGTGTGTGACAGTGACAGCTTTGCTTACCCTTCTTCCTCTTCCTGGACAGCATTACCAAAACACCAGCAGCAACTGCAAGCAGAAGAAGAACCACTACGATGCCTGGAGTGAGGATGTGCTCAACAACATCCAAGCTGCAAGAAAAAAAAAGTGTTTCTGTTCTTACACTTCTCGGAAACTGGCTCAGGAGGAAGCAGCATGGAGCAGGCATGAAAGGGAGAGGCTGTGGTTGACGGGGCTTGCCGTGGGAAGAAGGGAAGCAGGCTTGGGGGCAGTCAGGCTGTGAGCAAAGCAAACTGAAAACAGCAGAAGTAAACGCTTGGGTCTCAGAGCTGCTGGGTCCTCACTATTTTAAGTCCTGCGCTTAGTTTTGCTCTGGTTTAGCTCCACTATTTGTTGACCTTGTTGTAACAGGCAACCAGGCAAGGTCTCTGTGCCAGGTACCCCTTGAGCATGCTGATGGGAAGCCTCGGCCTTACCTGCTTCCTGCATCACCTTCAAGAGGCAGGAGAGGAGGGAGGAAGCTCTGCTGCTCCAGTCCCACGCTTCATCAACAATCTCTGAGGGGCTGTGTGTGACCACAAAGCACAACAGGACCCAGTCCAGCACTTTGTTTCCCAATTTTGTTTTCCTGTGACCCACAGGCAAACAGTCCCTCTGAGTTTTGGGGAAGGAAACTAAGTCAGTGCTGCAGCCAGAAACCACTTTTCGGATGGTGATAACCTGCTCCTCGCTTAAGCTGCAAGACAGACAGGACAAGCAGGGCTTTGCTGGGGCCAAGCGACCAGGGGTGCTGGGATTATTTTCTCTGCGGGGTGGTTGGCTGAGAAGGTGAGATGCTGGCCTCTCAAGGCAAAAGCAGGAGGACCAAACACTTAGGAAAGGCGTGAAGAGCCTGGAGGGCTGCAGGGGCAACAAAGAGACCTCATGGAGGGTGGTGGCTGCATCAGGCTGGAGCTGGTACTCACTGTGGAGGGCTGGAGCCTCCGTGGTGCCTGACACCTGGTCCCGGTTGCACAGTTTCCCCCTGGGGAGTTGTCTGTGTGAGGACTGATACAGAGCTAGTGAAACTGGAGACCTCGGTGGAGTAGTAGGATGATGCTGGGGAGGAGGAAGAAGGAGCTGTAAAAATAAAGAGAGGTTCAGTCAGCCTCCCTGCCTCCATGGGGGAAAATGCTGCAGGTTTTGCAGCAAGTGAGAACTTACTGTCACACCAGGAGAAGCTGGGTCCCCTCTGCCATGTCCAGAGCACGCTCCTCAAGGTGGGAGGACTGTAATCCCCTACTGCTGCCTGGGAGGCTTTTTGGGGTCCCGGTTCCCCCCCCAAAATATGCAGACAAGCAGATGCAGCACAACCCCATGGCCTGCCCAGCACCAACACAACAGCCCCATATAAGTGTCTGACCACAGGGTCTGGTCCCTGGCAAAGGGAACAAGGAAGAGGGACATTCCCTAAGCCCAGTGCCTGGTGCCCCGGGGGCAGGGTGTGTGTGTGAGGGACTCCCTGGTGTTATAAAGTAAGGCAAGGAGAGCACACACGAGGCCAGCAGGATTGGATGAGATGGGAAAATGAGACGTGGAGAGCAAGGGTGGTGCAGCCCAGCGAAAGGGGTGGCAGACCCCGAGGCCATGGTGAGACCTGGGCATGGGGAACAGGGGAAGCAGGCACCTGTTCTGGTGGCAGCCTGCCAGCCATGGTGACGACCTGGGGCTGCCCCACGGGGCCTGGGCACCACCTCCTCCAGGCTGCCCCTCCCTGCAGTCCCCACTCTTGGCACTTGTATGTGGGCAAGGGGACACCCTGACACTGGACCTGGGGGACCCACAAGTGCCCTGGACCCCACGCCCAGGGTACCATTTCCTCCCACCGCCAGGACCTGGCTCCTTGACGTGATGGTCCGTGGAGCTGTGGAGATGGGGACATGCAGAGACTGACCTGGGGACACGATCACCTCCACATCGTCACTTTCGTCAGGCTGCCATCTGCCCGTTCGCACCCCACAGCGGTAGGTGCCCGCGTCACTCTCGGCCAGTCTCTCCAGGGTCACCGTGAAGACCCGCAGTGTGCGATTGTCCCTGATGGAGACTCGGCCCCGCCGCGCCACGAGCTGCTGCTTCGAGGTGATGACGATGTCAGTCTTACAGGTTGAGAAAATTCCTGGGTAGCACCAGTATTTCGGGTACATCTTATGGAGGGGCTGGTAGGTGCAGTTCACCGAGAGGGTCCCCCCAGGTATCCCCACACGGTACCGGGTCCCGTCACTGCCCAACAGCCTGCAGAGACACATGGAGCAGTGGGAGTCCTGCCACTGCACTGACACCGCCTGCCCCATGATCCTGATCCAATGTGGGGCTTAAGCCCCAGGGGTCCCCTCAGCCCTACCTGGCAGCAGCATCCAGACAAGCAGCAGGATCCACATGGGCAGGTTGGCCTGGGCTGCACGTTAAGGCAGCCCTCTTGCTCCTCACGCTCCTTCTTCGTGGTGCTTCCTCTTCTGCCTCTGCTTCCTCTTCTTCTTGGGGTACAAAATTCGTTGCTGCTGGAGGTGTAGAAGAGAGTGGGATGTCTTGTTTCCTCTGGCGTCAGCTGACTTCCTCCTGCCTCTGTCACTGAGAGCACTGCCACGTGCTGTCCCCTGAACCCTATTGCCCTACTCCTGCTCCACTCTGGCCCCCAACCCGGGGACTCCCCTTTGTGCCCCCAGCATGGTCCCCACTTTGGGGTGCAGTCCTGCCTCTCCCTGCCTCAATTCCACACTGCCAGCCAGGCAGGGTGCCCAGAGGGGAGTATCTGCCTCTCAAAGGGGTGGCTCAGTCCTGCACAGGGACCCCCCTGAGCCCCAAACTTGCACCCAGGCCAGGCAGCAAGGGTGCCACATTGCTCCTGCAGGGGCATCCTGTCCCCCACCTTGGAAAATGCAGCGGGAGCGTCCCAGCCTCCTGTCCATGTGCAGATGGATGTGAGCATCTGTCCCACTGCCTTGGCCAGTACGTCCCTCTGGTCTGTCCCCACCACAGCCCCTCTGTGGCTCAGTAGCCCCATGCCCAGTGCTCCAGTCAGGTCTCTTCAGGCCACCCTCCGATGTCCCCTGGAAGTATAGAATCATAGAATCATA